TTTTGCAGGAAATATGCCCGAAAAAGCGTTAAAGATGGAATCGGGACGAAAAACGGCAAAAATAGGGTGCAGTCAGGGTCACACGACTCGTGTGGTATGTGACACGAGTCATGTGGGGTGAGAAAAATCGAGCTCTTGTGGAATTTTGCTTCGGCTTTGTCACACGACTCGTGTGTCAAGTGACACTGGTCGTGTGACCCAGTCGTGTGACCAGTCGTGTGAGTCTGAAAGTTGGCCAAAAGTTCGAGGAAAGTCACACGACTCGTGTGGCATGTGACACGGGTCGTGTGACGCGCAGAGAGACCAGCGGAAAATAGGATTCCTACGCGTTTTTGTCCCTTTTTCAAGCCATATTTGCCCTACAGTATATAAGGGACATGAGGAACACGGTTCTGGGACTTGGAACACCATTGGAGGCCTAGGGAAAGCACGAAACACACAAGGGATTCGAGGAAGTCAAGATTGAAGATCCGGGAACTAACGGAAACAATAGTTCTTCTTTCTTTTCTCTTTTTCTTCTTCATTGAACTCATGGATTTATTTATTTTGAGTATTGAGAATATGTTTAGTAGCTAAATCTCTTTGAGATTCTAGGATTTGCGAGTACTCGGATTATTTTATGAAGTGATTTTGTTTATTCATTCCGATCTTTCTTTCGTTTATCGTTTTCTTGTGCTTATTATTATTGTGTGAGTAGACGGCCGCTATGAATGCATACTTGTAATTGATTTGAGACCGAGAGGAGATAATTGATTGCTAGAATTGGGAAATTCATAACGTAAGAGTCTAAACAGACCGAGAGGTTGATAGGATCTTGCGAGGGAACTAGAATCTTAGGAGCGTATGGGAGTTAGTTGTTCATCTTGAGACCGAGAGGAGATAGATAGCAATTAATATCTACGATTTGCTTGTTCGAGAGAAAAGTTGAAATCACTTTAGCGATTATCCCTACGATTGGTAGAATTAAATAAGGTTTGAATGAATAAGAAAACTTTGCTAGAATAATCCCGAGGAAATCATAGCCTAGAATCTATTTTCTCATACTTGATTTATTTAGAATAAGCCTTCATTAGTGTTAGAATTTATTTTTGCATTCATTCATTAGTTTAGAATAAAAACTCCAATCAAATTTGCGTTTGTCTAGATAATATTTAGTCGTGTATATTTTGGTACTTAATTAGTTTTACAGCAGTCTCTGTGGAATACGACCTTGCTCGCCGCTTTCTGCAGCTACTCCGTACACTTGCGGGTAGTGAAAATATTTTGCGAACACTCACTCATTCTCTCTATTCATTACATCACTACATTTTCTCTCTTAAGCTGAGCACTGACTTAGGCATCGGAGGCCCGACGCCGGGGCCCCCCCGGCGTTGGGTTCTGCAGGTACGGAGGCCGGTTCGAGTTGAAGGAGCCCGGGTGAATCTTATTCACTTCACATTATTTATTTTACAATCTACATTGGTTTATGATGCTAACAAATATTAATATGTCATTCATATGATTAATTTATCTAGAAAAATGTAAAATTCATAACTTCTTAACCAATTGTTTAGTATTTTTTTTTTTAAAATATATATTTATAAATTACCAACTAAAAAATATTAAATGTTTTAATATATTATTATTAAAAGAATACACCCTAAATAATAAAATGTCTAATGTCTTTATTGGTACTTTGCAAATGTCAAACAGCTATAAGCTTTCAGCTATTTACCAAACACTTATTTAAAAACCGCTAATGCAATCCGCTAGTCACATCAGCTAATATAATCCGCTATCCACTATCCGCTAATACAATCTGCTATCCGCTATCCGCTATCCGCTGATCGCCAAACAAGGCCAAAAACTAATGTTTCACTCTGCAAGAAGTAAGAGTGTGTAAGGACTAGAGGGTAATAATTAGGGTTGAGCATGTGACTTAGAGAATTACGAACCATTTCGAAAATCGTTCGAAAATCGAACCGTAATTATTCCGAACCGGAAAATAATCGTTGACCGTTTGACTTTTTCCGAACCGAACCGAAAAAAAAAATATAATTGGTACAGTTCTGGAGATTTCACAAATATCCGTACCGAAAACCAAACTGAACTGTCACATACCGTACCGAACCGAAGAAACGAAATTAAGAATCGAATTATAACATTACATGTGTTATTAATATATTTTATGTTAACTTTGATCTTATATAATATAGTAATAAATATTAACCTTCACTTAAATTACATGCTTAGTAATACTTTATCTACAATTGAATTTTTCTATTATAAAATAATTATTTTAAATAATATGAAGGGTTAAAAAATATTTTTAGGAAAAAAACTTTTATATTTTGGTTGAATTTTAAATTTTCAATATTAGTTAGAACTAATTTTGTCTGAACTAAAATTTTGAGTTACTTCTAAAGTTGATTTAAAATAAAATCTTTAAATGAAGAAATATTGATGAATGTTGGTTTTATTAAAACATATAAAAATTAAATAATCAAAATTTAGAGTTACTTCTAAAACTGATTTCAAAATAAAATTTTCACTATAATGAATTATTGACGAATGTATTTTTTTAAAGCATATAAAAATTAATATATAATTAGGTAGTCATTCAAAAAAAATTAAAAAAATAAGAAATCTCAGAAGATCCGAACCAAACCATACTGAACTGAACCGTCCCAATAGTCCCGAATACCGAACTGAACCGAACCTAAAAATAAAAATCTCTGAACCGAAACGAACCGAATTTATGATACGGTTCCGAAAATCAAATTTTGGGATCTCCGAATTTTAGTACGGCTCCGGAGATTTATCAATCTCCGAACCGTACCGACCCACAGCCTAAGAACAACACTATTGAAATTGACTCCTTTGGCTGAGCTCGTTAAAAATTTGTCAGAATGCATTCGAGCTCGGTTGTTAAGGTTTTTACAAATTTGATAATGGTAAGGAATATATATGTTTTTCTTTTTTTTTTTTTATGTTCTCGATAAACCATTGTGAGGGATAATGGCTCGTGGCACTGTCTAGCTTGTAGGAAGGTCCACTAGGTAGTTCATGATTCGCTAGTTATCGCTAAGTCGTATTAACAACCTCATATTATTATTGTATCATACGCGTCAATACACTTTATAGTCATCAATAATTTTGTACTAACACATGTCTAAAATATATTTAAGATACGCATCGATACATTTTGTAGTTATCAATAACTTTGCACTAACACATTACACATGTCCAATATATTTATCGTAAGATACGCGTCGATACACTTTGTAATTATTGTGCATAGTTTCATAAACCGTGTCATCCAATGACTCCATAACAAAACGTGTACAGACCTATGCTACAACTAATAATTTAATCAATATGGGAGAAGATTTGCTTATATCTATGAATAGGGGAAGAGCCTAGGTTTGAGAATTCCTTACCATCTAAAGAATCTTGTGATTACATGTAAACCAAAAATTCTTTCTTCATTATCATCCTACATTGCTATTAAATTTTTTAGTATCTTTCTTTAAAGAATCCATCTGACTTTAGCATTAGAGTCTTTTCGTAGAGTATCTCTTCCAAGACTTAACCGATTATTCAAAGTTGAGTTACGCGCAAAACTCGACTTATTTGGTGTGGTGTACTTTAGTACCTAGTCATTTTTGTGTTTGTTAAGCAATAGAAAGCCTAATCCTCTCCCTGTCCCTTTTCTTTGTGCAGCGCCAGTCTTCGAAACAAAAACTGTCACCGCCCTCTCATCTTTGGCTGCCGGCCCCGCCGCCTTTGGTTTCACCATGCTCCTCACTTTTTATGTTTTTCGGCTTGGATTCGAGGAATTGCGGGTTCAATTTACTCCTTGTGTGTGGAGTTTTGATCCAGTCTCTTGGCTTGTTGAAGGAGGTGAAGGAATTTCGAGACAGTGCAAAAGTTGTGGTGCTTCCAACAATTCTCAGATTTGTCTAGCCAAATTGAGTTGTTTCGAAGTTCTCAGGTCTTAGTGTCTTGATTGTGGCATTGGCCGTTTAGGGTTGTTGTTTGCAAGGGCAAGGTGTGTGGGAGATGGCGAAGGCCTTATTCTATGTATTAGTTTTGTTTGTTTTGTGTTTCTTGTGTTTTGCTTTGTGGTTGTATTCTCCATTATTGGTGTGTCTGATTCTTCCACGTGGAAGTTAGGTAGCTTTTGTTTAACTTGTGTTTGTTTGTGTAAGGTTCTATGCTACCGCTCTGTAGACCTTCCCTTAGATTCAGCTAAGTTAGCTGGTTTATTCAGCCATTTTTAGTTCATGTTTTCTAATTTGTAATATAAGTCTTTTTTTTAAGAAAAAAAAAAAAAGACGTGATGTTTTCCTCTCATTTCTAGTTTTTTGTATTTTATTTGCTTGGTTTGATTCTTACACTAAATTGTTATTGTAAATTTCTAGTTATTAAATAATCAGACATAAAATGGGATATTGATTATTATAACTAGGTATTTTGTTACACAATTAAATTTATATTTTTTTAATTTTGACTTAATGACCTTGATTTTTTCACAAATATTCATAAACTAGCTTGCTTTCAATTAATTATAGTCAATGAGATGTATGGTTCAACATCCTCATTAATATGCAAGATAGGGAAGGAAATAGTAATGTCACGCTCCTCTCTTCTTCACAAACTGGAAGCCATGTAGATGCAACACCTCTCCCTACATACTCAATATGGGCCAGAATTGTCCCTCATGTATATAGGCCTCAATATGGGCTGAATTTCACCCTCTTTTCAAGTTGGGCTACATTGAAGATATTCTACACTGGCTAAAATTGGGCCCTTATGAATCGGTCCAGGACTGAACATACTGAAAATAAAACGAGGCAAAAGCATATAATAATCTACTGTACTTGAAATAAAATTTACTTGGGCACCAAACTGCCAAAACAAAATCCAAAGATAAAAGACATAAAACACTTTAGAAAAAAAAAAAAAAAAATCCTATAATAATTTATCATCAAAATTAGTCTGTATTATCTGCATTTGCTTCATCTGTGTTGGCATCTTTTTCTGCCATTTTCACAAGTGCTTCCAGGAAATCTTGAACCTGCAAACAATTATTACCAATAATTATAATAATATTCATCCAATGAGAATTGCAATAAATTTAAAAAACTATGAAGGACATAATTAAGAAGAAACAATACATCAGTGTCTAATCTTAATTTACCTCTGAAGTATCCTTAAGAGAAAAAGATGCGTTGCTCTCCTTCGGAACAGCGGATACAAGGATACCATAGCCACGATTTTTCTTCCTCAGCACCTGTACGAAACGAGACATCGCATTAACACCAAGTCCCAAAAAAAAAAATAAAAAAAATAATAATGAAATGTCGAGGCTATTGTGTTTTATCTTATTACCTTGAATGCATCTTCGTCTGTCCTATCATCCCCAATATAAATCGGGAGAACATCATTACGGTTGCTAAATCCTACATAAACAATTAAATTGTAACTGTTTTTTGTAATTTTCAAAAACAAAAAAAAAAAGTCTGGATCCCTAGTTGTATTAGACTGACTTACCTAGAGACTCTAGAAGAAACTTAACTGCCTTCCCCTTGTCCCAGTCAATCACCGGACGAACTTCCAAAACCTGTTAATCAGAGCAACAACATGTGACGAACAGAAAATTTGGAAGCGGTTTATAATCACACAAAGAGGTTTTCTTAATACTTCACCTTTCGTCCATGAGTCAGCCGAAGTCTTGGATAGTCGGCCAAAATATCATGAACATTTTGCGCAATCACAGGCCAGCTCTAAAATTGCGGGGAAAAAAAAAATGTTGTTTAACAAGAAAAAAAAGTTGAGACATTTGGTAAAATTGAAGGGAGAGGGAATTAGTTTAATGCTTACATTCTCCTCTACATTGCGGTAATGTACAGAGACACAAAACTTATGGTTCTCAACTTTCGAGCCTTCTATGTCTTTCGTAATTTCAGCAAACTTTCTGAAAACCTGGAAAGCCAACAAAAAATTAAGAAAAATGGTTATTTTTCAACCCGGACGATTTTTTTTCTGCACATAGATAGTTTTATTTGTTCCGTGTTGCAAAATAACAAACCTCGTCGATCATGGGTATAAATTCACTGGCAGGCTGGAATAAATTAACCTCCTTTCCCTGCATATGCCCAAAATAAAAAAATAAAAAATAAAAAAAAAAGTAATTTTCGGACAATGATATATTATAGTATTAGACAAAAAAGTGAACAATGACCAAATATATACCTTAGGATCAGACGATCTCACACAATTTTGATGGTTGTGTGGATTAACCGCGTCTTTGGCCGGAAAAATGATGTCCATTCCATGACTGCCGGCATAATAGAGTTCACTGAACCCCACCAATTCATAAACCTGAAAGAAACCGAGACAGTGTAAAGATCAAAATCTTATAGCACAAATATTAAAATAGTTACACGACGTTTCTATTAGAAATTCGTGTATCCACCTTATCTCGACTTCGCCCACTGATGATGGCGGTTGGAAATTTTTTCGCGACACTCTTTACAACAGATCGCATCTGATAAAAATCAAATCACTTCAATCACATGATAAAAAAATTAAAAAAAAAATAAATAAATCACGAAATTGAGTAAAGTAAGTGCATTCGATCAATCGCTGAATCATCAAATTGCTTACGTCATCAGACATAAAAGCTCGATCAGGGTCATCCACAATCGGTGAAAGCGTGCCGTCATAATCCAAGAACACGACCAACTTTCCATTCTTTGCACGATCTACAATCCTCTGGAACGAACCAAGGGCCGATGGGTACTTAATCTGCAGCAAGCAAATAACAGGATAACTATATATCAAGATTGATATCAAAAAAAATATATAACAATTAAAAAAAAAGACATAGCAAAATGATTCATTAATAACAATAGCACTAACAATTGTACGCACCGTCCAAGAGAGATAAGCAATTTCGGCATCATCCGAGACGGACTCAGCACCGTTGAAATCCTTGAGGATCTTCTTGCGAGGAGGGGAAGATGATTTCATGGAGTCCAACCAGCCGTTGTATCGAACATCACCGAGTTTTACGGACTTTTTTCTTGGAACGGTGGGGATGCTTTTAGGGAAACTGGGCCCGCCCGATTGCGAGCAAGGCAGGAGGCCCGAACGGATCCCGAGCCTCGATTTGTTCAGCGAGGCCGGGTCCGTGAGAACTGGCGAGGAATTCGTTGACTTAACGTCCATCGGAATTCGGAGTTTTTTTTTTAATGATCTAATTCGGTATAACTCAGAAAACACAGCAGAAAATAGCCCTACTAACCCACCCTTTTATCGATGAAAAACCACCTTTTCAATGTGATTCTGTTACAGCATTCCATTAATCTGAGGATTCGCGAAATCTGATCGACAGCATAAAATTATGGTTATATTAACGCGCAAACAAATCAATATTTTTGACTGATTTTCTTACTTTTTAGGAAAAGGAAAAAGAGAAAAACGATCATCCTGCAAAAAAATGGGATCTTTTCTAAAATCACGTGACATATATACCTCATCTTCAAAGACACAATGCATTTATACAAGGAAAAGCATCATCGAACCGTCTTTTTTCTCCTGAAATTGCAAAAGCAAACATTAATTACGAACAAATGAATCACAATATCGGGAATAACAGGGTTTGATACTACACCATCTACATCATTTTCAGCACTACAATGAGTTTGTATGGTACAAAGCATGATGACTTGTACTAAATTTTTTCTAAGAAACTAAAAATACTCAAAATGAATAAAAACATAAATGAGTACAATAGAGGACTTATAAGCCAACTTCTTCGATAAACTTGTTAAGATGCACAAACGAATGCCTTCACCTATGCCAAGTTTTACCACTTTTATAAAGGGAGAAAGACACCATAAGAGATGAAACTGACACCACCTAAAAAAGTTTCCGTTAAAGTAAGAAGAAAGATACAAATCTTGCCGATAAATAAAGCACATTGAGTTAAGAATACATACGTCACGGTTAGTAAACCAAATAAAATATAATTGAGAAAGTCCTAGGGTGACTTGAAAAAAAACGTGTGTAACGGTTGCGGTGGTGTCTTTTCTGATTGCAAACGCGGAAAAGCACGCTAGTGCACTTACGTGACGTATTAGACATTTTATTTCTGAATGGAAAGAAGAGACAGCCTTTGAACATATCTAACTATTTACTTCCCTCACAAAGTGTGAAAACACAAAAGAGCTCGAAGAAGGAAAAAATCGTAAAAGCACTGTTGGGATTTGTTTCTCAAATCATCCAAGTTTGCTTGCAGACACAACGAATCAAGGTTTTCTAAAACCATGGAGAAATGCTAGTAAAGTAACTGTGCAAATGAGAAAAAGGAAAAAGTGAAAGATTTTAATACCAATCAAGAACTAAACTAGTTACGGGGAGAATGTCAATGACTATCACGACATGAAACACGAACATGATACGATTAGAAAAACGATTATAGTGACAAATGACACAATGAGCAAGACACAACATGACATGACACAAAAAACGACATGAGAAGCACGAAATTAAAAAAAAATAAAAAATAAATTTAGATTTAGTATCATAATTATGATAAAATAAAACAGACAATACGAAAACACGATAATGGAACACAAACATGATATAAAAGCCAATCAAATCCCATGATTGGCATTGACCCTTAAGAAGTTCCATTCAAACGAGTGCGAAAAACAAAAAAAAGATTAATATTAGAGAGACATGAAATAACATCCTCTCTTCAAATGCTGCCATCTGCTTATTGTAACGATTAATAACACGACCACACACCCACCTAAATAAACAAATTACAATCAAAAGGGATATGCAAATATTAATTTCAAGCTACATGGTATTCATCTATATATGCACATATATTATTCAGCTATAATTTTCTGATAAGCCCACATATTCAAATATTTCAAGAATCACATGCCAAGTATATATAGTCGTCATATGGAAATATTAATATCCATAACTTGTGTTGTAGTAGTCCTCACTGCTTGACTGTCTCAATAGACTACACAATATGAAAAAGATGGATCCAATCACATCCACCGCTCACGACAAATTTAATAGACGGGTCGATGTACACATTTTCAATAGTAAAAATCAACACAGTTTCAAATAATACTGAAATCGTAGTAGCAACTAGCAAGCATTCATGTAACAAGAAAACAAATGCTTCTTGTTAAATATCTTTGAAAAAATTTAAATTGTCAGAAAACTCAGAACAAAAGTTCTTGAGAATGACCATCTATGCATATTTGGTGGCCCCATGAAAAAAAAAAACGATCGATTAAGACACATTAAACCAACATTTCATACTAACGTCTGAACAGCAACCGACATATACAAAAAGAGGACTAAATAAATAAATAAATAAATTGTTCAGTGATTCACGAAATCCCCAATAAATAAAATAGATATAAAAATTAGAAAAACATAAAATTAATCCCGAAAACATTAACACACACGACGTACTGGAATAAATAATTTCAATCAATAATTGAAATTCCGAGAAAAAAAAAAGAAAAAAAAAATCACACTTTCGTAAAGGAAAAGATTTGATTTTTATAATAGATTAATTAAATTTCAAGAGAAAATTTAATCATACAATAGATTAATTTAATTTCAAGAGCATTGTGACATATTCGAGACATTGTTCATGATATAAAGAGATAACAATTTAAAAAAAAATACAAAAAATAATTACAAAATACACGCACCTGGTGAAGGACGATTGTGCGTGCAATTCACGGCGTCAGATTGAAATTTAGCTCCAAAGAGACAACAAAGGGGCAAAAGGGTCCGCGAGAAAAATATACCTGGTTTAAATAGAAACCCTAAAATCGGGAAAGAAAAAATTACAGGAAAAAGGAGAGAGAAAAAAAGGAAGGGGAAAGAGAAAGGGGAAGAAGAAAAGCAATGCATTTATTTATAGTTTTGATTTTGTGATGAAAAACAGACGTGCGAAACAAGGCAACTTCTCCTCCCCTCTTGTTCGGTCGTTGAATCAGGAAACATTTTATTTATTAATTAATTGGGTTATATATATATATAAATATTTTAATTTAATATGCATATTTTTTAATATATACTTATGTGATAATAATAATGTATGGGATATAAATAATTTAAAAAATAAAAATAAATAAATAATATGAGCAGCAACTGTCAAAGGTTGTGCCTTTTTTCAGTTTCTTGAAGCAGTGGTCAATCTCTGCGGTGTTTCTTAAAAGGGGCGATCTGCAGTTTCTAGAAAACCGGTACAAAGAAACGTGAATATTTTTTTTTTTTTTAAAAAAATGACACTATTTTATTTTGACTTATGGGGAGATTTTTGTCTCTTTTTTGAGCTTTTCTTCATCTTATGTGTATCATTTAATGGAATGAGATATGAATTAAATGTATATGAAAAAAAAAAAAAATCTCAATTATAATAGATAATTAATCTCGCTCAAATGCCCTCGGTGGTCAATTTGATTGTCAAACAAATTAATGTGGTAGAATAATATTTTACATAGACATCGGTTATGCAATTCAAAGATGATGGTATTTAGACAGGTAATTGATGGACACATGTTAATGTGACAACGGTGGGTAATGTGAAGAACTCTCCCTTGTGACACATATATAATTTGTTCTTGTGCTATTAAAATCTTGATCAAACGGAATGATGTGGCCCTTATATTAATTGCAGACCAAATAAGAAAATCAGGCTGAAGACCGTTGTTATCATCCGACCTGGTAATATGCATTATCTACGCGAGATCACATACTTAACGGATTATCACTGGTGTTAGGCCAAACATATCTCACCCCGGTTTAAAAGCTCAAACTGAATCTCGGCTCGCTCAGACCACAACCGATCTGTCGATTAATCGCACTTCGTCCGACGTCCTTTTACGACACCGACTTACGGCTTGAAACCGAGGTCACCAAAACCGAAGCAGGTGACGAGGCGCCTACACGACGTTCCCCTACACCACAAGATACCTCATTATTCGGGTGGGACCCGCTCACATGGCCGCCCATCTAAAAGTTACTTTACAAAAAGTGACCGCACATCTCGAAACACGGGCCCAAAAAGATACTATAAATAGAAGATTCTTATTCTTGTACAAGGATCGAATTTTCGACATCCATATATAACAAACAGCCCGAATACCTTTCACCTCGGTTCACCTCGGACCGGGGCCATCGTTCTTGTTTTGATGCATGCTTTACGTTCATATTAATTAAAACACCTTGTTAATTTCGTAATAAAAGTGTTGTAACAATCATACAACAACAACCGTCAAGGCCGCTCCTCAGTCGGCCCATTCAATTACTGCAAAGGTTGTTGATCGCTCGATCGACACGACAATATCCCAAAGGAGCTTCTCGGGGATGGTTGTCGATCAGTCTGTCTATCTGAGCACGCTCTAATAAAGCTAGTAGTACCACTCTAATACACGCGACATCATCCTACCAGTGGTGCAACACCCTTAATGCCAAACCACTAACTTTGACTATAAAATCTTTGACTTTTGATGGTCGAAGGACATAGGAAAAAAGAGGGGAAAATTAGTATTATCATCACCGCTACAACAATAGCAACCACTATACTCATATTATCGATTGTCGGGTTCCTTGTATTTTAGGGCATGAGCCACACGTGTAAATATTTATGCTAATGAAACAGGCTTGTAGATCCAAATCTCCTCGCCGCAATTTCTCTTATCCCCATACTAATTCCCTAAACTGTTACAGTAACTAATAACCCCCGATTCTGTGCCTTAGATACACATATTAATTTCAAGGGTTCGTGAGATTATAAATAGCTACCATCCTCTCATATTGTTTCACATCCGAACACTTACTCTTTCATATACATGGCTTCTTATTCTCACCGGAAAGGCAGCTCAGCCGACCTCCTTTTATTTAAATTTTAAAGTGTGACATCTCATTGTCTCCTTTGATGGATATGGTCATACTAAGAAATTAATTATTTGAATTGAAACCAAAACTGATGTAGGGGAAGTCGATATAAATTAGGTGGAATAGAACAAAAACGTTATTCTTTTTAGACTCGAATTGAAATAAATTTTCCAATCCAATTAATTATTCTAAATAAAAAGAGCATGCGATGCGAGGTACCACACGTTCTACAGATAAATAATTTAACAGGAAATGAACACCATAAAATAGTACTGGATTTAATT